AGGTTCTTGGGGGGGCAATGCTACTGACCTGAGTCTCCCATCTTGGAGCGGCGTTCAGGCGTCCACAATCCTCCAACGCATACCAATCACAGGGCCCACCACAGCTCCCGGCCAACCACAGTCCACAGATCACTGGTCCCAGCACATCCATGGCCGACCACAGCAGAGAGAGAGACAGAGAGAGGGTGTATCCGTGTGTGTAAGAGAGAGAAAGAGTGTGTGTGAGTGTGTCCGCAACAGAGCCTCAAAAAAAGCATGACTGTGCCAGACTGTTTCGTCGGACTTTCACTGACTCATCAGGAGGTTGAACCCCGACAGTCTGCCCAGGATGCATTTGACTGATGGATAAGGGCTCACCACATCGCCCAGAGTTAGCAGCGATAGCCCTGAGAAACGTGTCTCTGAGAGAGAGAGAGAGAGAGAGAGAGAGAGAGAGAGCTCAGGGCTTCATGACACCGCGCAGGGTGCTTCACGACGTATGCGCTAGAGGGGCGAAGTAAAACTGCACGCGACATCGGCAAAAGTTGGCCTAGGCGCTTCGCACTGATGCTTCACGACAGCCTGGGGCACCCACAGCACCGTCGCGGACTGAGACGGCCCTTTGAAACAGTAAAAACGCGCGGCACTGCGTTGGCCTGCCGTCGTGAAGCGCCCTCGACTCCGGTAGCACCGGACGGCACTTGACCGGTAGTACCCCACGGCACTCCGCGGCGCGTCTATCTGAGCCGTCGATCCGGACGGACGGCCTGGATCTCGGCGCGGTACTAAGATCTTAAGACCGCATCTATCCAGGCCGTCGGTCTGGTAGGACCCGACGGCCCAGATCGCAGATTTGTTACATGATTAGTCGATCTGGGCCGTGGACCGGTAAGGACCGACGACGGCCCAGATTTCAGAGTTGTTACCTTAGCGATTTTCGTAGTGTAGGGATGGGCACGAGTCTCAAGTCCTAACCCCCCCCAGCCCTCCCCCGGGGGGTGGCCCCCAGCCGGCAACCAGGAGACTCCCATTGGTACCCAGTCGCTGCCTTCCTCACACTTCAGAAACTCCCCTTAGTAATGACTCCCCCCCTTTGCAGGCCTTGGGGGCTTCAATCCCTATCTCCACCCTCGCACTGCAACAGCTCTCCGCAGGATTCCACATGATTCACTGATATTGAGTTCTGGAGTTATGGGAATCCATGAGGGAGAACTGGAAGCAGATGTTTAAATGACCGACTAGCAAGTAGGTTTCGGAAAGGTATAGGTGAAGTTCATCACATGAGGTTCACCAAATCGACACAAGGAGATCCAGCAATGGCAACATGTGCAGTAGAGGAGGTCAAAGGAGGTCGAAGGATAGCAAGGGAGGTTCATAGACGGCAAGCTATAGAATATAGAAAGGGGTCCAAATTTAGAACTCTATCAACAACACATCGAAAGAGATTCCAGACTTTGAAAAGGTGAAAAACAGCTGAGAGATTCCCCTTCTGTTTTTCCTGTGCGGAGGAGCCTATGTAACAAACTCAGCATTCAGGACTAACAAAACCCAAGCAGCTTGCTAACTTAAGATTAGCTGCAAACATAACTGACCTCATGAAGCGTTTTCTCTGTTGTGTGTGGTGACAGCCTGCCGACAAATATCGTGCAATATGGATCACCTTCTGCGCTCCGGTTCTTCGCTGGATCATCTGCAAACATCCATCAAAACAGACAACCAGACAGGCAAGGAAAAGAGAGCTCGTAAACATTTGTGCGTCTCCAAACCCATTGCCCCAAGTTTCAAAGGCGTATCTGAAGGCACGAGAAGAAACAACAATACCAGAAAAGAAACGGATTCTAGAAAGTGCAGCTTCCCTCGGAAAATAGCTCTCACTCAACAACATAGGAGCACCTTCACTTGAGAACATGGAGGCAACTCTTATTTCACTGATCAAACCAACCTGCAGGCAGGCTTTTCTCACAAGTCTTATCAGCTCCTCCTCCAACCTCTACGAGGATTTGAAGCCTTCAAATACGGACAAAAACATTGGGAAAAGTCAAATCCTGCGCATTCAATAAGCAAGTGCCGTCACTCTACTAGTTCAAATGCGGAGTGACTCATCACGTTGAAGCGGTAGGTTTTTGTCATAAGTTAAGTAACCGTACAACAAACTGCTTCATGTATAACATATTTTCAACTTCTCCACGTTATCGTCGAGTACTAACACGTAGAAGAACTGAGCCACAGATGCATGATAATGACTCTTTCAGCATAGAATAAGCTAGCTCATCCAACAGCCATGAAGAGCTAGCTTCGAAATCTGAGACCTGGAATTTGAACGAGACCTTGACAACCTGGTGCCACAGTTAAATATGTCGCAAACTCTGCATGCTTCCAAAGTGAGGGGCACTTCGAACACGAGATAACCCTGCAAACCAAGAAGGCACGACCATATAAACAGTGGGAATGACAAGCAGGCCTCCATGCATTGCTGAGCCACAGACCCGTTTACAAAGAACAGGGTGCGAACAAGAGTGGGCCAGTGGTGAATGCTCAACTGTAACTAAGACTGTAACCTAACCCGCAGAGCCCTGAGCATAATCCGCGCTAGGTGACAAAAAGATCAATGAACATGCCTTGACATCACTTTGGGCGCCCAGTGCAGAGGAATGGTGTGAGAGAGGGCACAGAGCTGAAGGAAAGAGACAGTAAGTACGGAGGAAGAGAGAGTTCACATGCAACTGGCTGGAACGCATGGCAATCAGAACGAAATTTATCCATCTCAACAATCGGCCAGTTCACCTGCACCTGGGCGATGCACAATGTGTCTGGTTTAAGTGTACACGTGGTTGTGTCTGTCTGCATCAAAGAGAGGAGGGAGCGAGAGAGGAAGAGGGCGAGAAAGAAGCCAATGACATCGTTGAACCGTGTGACCTCGCTGTGCTGGGTGTGTCTGTCTCTGAACCATGTCACCTTGCTGTGCTCGGTATGTCTGTCTGTGTCACAGAGAGAGAGACTAAGAGAGCAATAGAGCAATAGAGCAAGAAAGATGCCAATGACCTCGCTGAACCGTGTGACCTTGCAGTATGTGCTATAAGCTATGTGTAAGGCTTCCCCTTTTATAGCAACCGGGTTTGTCTGTCTGTGTCACAGAGAGAGAGAGAGAGAGAGAGAGTAAGAGAGCAAGAGTGCGAGAAAGAAGCCCATGACCTCGCTGAGCCGTGTGACCTTGCTGTATGTGCTATAAGCTGTGTGTAAGGCTTCCCCTACGCACGCATGATTGAACATAATTACCCAACCAATCCGTTCGCTAAAAGTTGGAGCTTGCACACAAAACCACAGCCCAAAGAACTTTGAGCACACTTGTGCTCAGGCTATCTCGACTGGATTTGACCAACCAGATTCAGTGAGGAAAGTCCTCCACAGCCAGACCTCTGGCCTTGCCAGCAAAGACAGAGAGCAGACAGTTTGATATGTGTATCACAGGGTAAGACAATTTCCAAAACTGCATTCCCCACAACAAGAGAGATTTTTTATTGTTTTCTTAACTAAGCTATATTCTTCTTGCAATTTCACCTTTCACTACCTACCTACCACTACTCCTAAGCCTATACAGGGGACCTCCGCAAGCATAGCTACCTCACAAAATCAAGGGGATGCATGTTGCCCCCCCCCTCTAATCGGAGCTGGTCAGCTAGTTGGGTTGGGCCGCTTGGGGGGGGACGGGGGACGGCTAACGCAAAGACAGAGCCGCCCCCCTCGAGTAACAGCAGTGTCTATGGCCGGCACCCCCCCACATACCACAGACAAGCCACACACACAAATGCACACCCCTGATGGCTAAAGACACTACCAATACCAGGCAAGGGGAGCAAGCCAACTATCTCAATTGGTCAGCAACAAGAAAGCCGCAGGTGGTCAGTGGGGATTGAACCCATGACCTCCTCAATGCCTACCTGACCAACAAGACCGGGGTGGGCTGGGTAGAGCGGCGTTCAACGGCCTGAATGCCACTTGCGTACCTACGCAACAACAGACTACAGCGGGTAGAGAGGGGTTCGACGGGCGTCGAACGCCGCTCTACCCCCCCCGGCCCCCGTTCTAACCCCATTCTACTGGGAAAAACAGCTTTCACGCCATTTTCCCAAAAGTGCATGGGGCGCGCAGGGTTGAGGATGCCACGAGCCACGCACCCAACGTGATGCATAAATGGGCGGGGGGGTAACGTAGAGCACAGAAAATAAATATGGGTTGTAGAGTACAGAATGCTGAGGCGTGGCCTCCCTCTCTCTCTCTCTCTCTCTCTCTGTGTGTGAGTTGCCCGCCAGTGGGTGAAGAGAGAGAGGGTGAGAGACCATGTGGGTGTGTGGATGTGTGTTTGAGCGTGTGTGTGTCTAACTCACAGCACGTGGAATGCTGCCATGTGGCCCCTCTCTCTCTCTCTCTGCGTTCAGAATGCTGAGACGTGGCCTCTCTCTCTCTCTCTCTCTCTCTCTCTCTCTCTCTCTCTCTCTCTCTCTCTCTGTGTTCTCTTTCTCTCTCTCTGTGTGTGTGAGTTGCCCGCCAGTGGGTGAGGCAGAATGGAAGCACCCCACTGGCAGGGCCCAACACCAAGGAAACAGCCGGGGCAGTTCCCTCTAGCCGTCGGAGCCACGAAAGGAGCGGGCGGAACACTGCCATGTGGCCTCTCTCTCTCTCTCTCTCTCTCTCTCTCTCTCTCTCTCTCTCTCTCTCTCTCTCTCTCTCTGTGTGTGTGTTCTCTTTCTCTCTCTGTGTGTGTGCAAGTTGCCCGCCAGTGGGTGAGGCAGAATGGACGCACCCCACTGGCAGGGCCCAATACCAAGGAAACAGCCGGAGCAGTTCCCTCTAGCCGTCGGACCCACGAAAGGAGCGGGCGGAACACTGCCATGTGGCCTCTCTCTCTCTCTCTCTCTCTCTGTCTGTGAGTTGCCCGCCAGCGGGTGAGGCAGCATGGAAGTGCCCCGCTGGCAGGGCCCAACACCAAGGAAACACCCGCGGTGGGCCCGCCCTTTTGGGGACCCCCATGGGTTCTTTTAATTCTTATCTTTTCAAAATGAATTCCCAAAAGGAAAAAATGGTGGCACAGGGGTTCCCGACTACCCACTGCAACCCCCCATGCCACCAGAACCCAGTTGACACCGCACCATGGCCTTTGGCGTTAACCAGCAGAAGCCGCTTTACCCCTGTTGAACTGGGGGTAAAGCGGGGGTAGCGTGGAGGTAGAACGCCGCTCTACATTTATAGCAGGACCCCTTGTTCTACCCCCATCCAGACACTCAGACAAGAGAATTCTCGAAACAGCGTTCACCACAAGAACAGGAAACAATAACGCCATCAAAGCAGCTACCTTCTTCCCCCGAACACGACACCTGGTCATTATAACTGCATCTACCCAGAAACAACACTCACGTACGTTCATCAAGACTTCAGGAGAAGAACGCCCAACATAGGGCATGTCGGACAGAGACGAGAATGATCAAGCAAAAGGTGCATCACAGGGGAACACGAAATGTTTTGCCCTCTACAGCAAACAGGACGTGCTATTGAACGACGCACAATGCGTATTCCTACATGAGAGATCCCTCCTTCCACCCCCTGAGATGCCAACGACTGCATTCAAGGGTTCAACACTGAGATTGGCATTGGCATTCCCTAAGCGGAGTTCCTTGAACCGATCTGAGAAACGCACTTTCCGACATGACTTCACAAGCAGCATGAGCAACAGGCACATGTCAGCACAGAGACTACATGCGCCCATGCCCGTTCTACGGAACAAGTAACGCCTGCATACCAGGGGAGCTGCAATCCGATTTGCCAGCTCCCGTTGCGGGGAAATGCATATTGCATGTACGTCCTTGCTGAGAAAGAAAAAGCCTCAATTATACTAACACGAGACCACAGAGACGAGGAGAAGAATCTCCGCAGACAGAACAAAAGGGTCCTGACGGACAAAGCGTGCACTGTGCCACCGTCATCATGGATGAATGCAAGCTACCCTTTCCTGTCCAGTATAGTAATGATGAGGGGGCATGGTGTTCGGGGTAAGATGGTAGGAGGTAATTATATCCCGGGTGTGAGGAAGATGACAAGGAGAAGAGCAGGAGAAGAGAAAGAGAACATAAACGGCCGTCCTTTTTGCGGCCCATCCACATACAGAATCATCAGATATAGAATAAGGCGGGACCATCAGATATAGAACCAGACAGACTCATAAGATCTAGAATCGTGCAGAATCATCAGGTGTAGAACCAGGCAGACGTATCAGATATAGAAGCAGACAAGATCATCAGATATAGAATCATGCAGAATCATCAGATTCGACTACAGAGACTGCAGATCAGCACGTTGAAGGTTGGTCACCAGAAAACTGGTTTCTTTCGGCTGGCCAGAGTCGTGACCAACCCCCAGAGAATAAGAATACGTCCACGAAGGGCGCAGCATATATAGAATCAGGCAGAATCATGCAAAATTATCATCATATATAAAAGCTGACTGAATCACCAGATAGATATAAAATCAGCCAAACAAAAAGAAGGCTGATTAGGTTAAGATCAGGCCGACAAGCAGCCATGTACATACTAAAGAATGTTTGACGGAAAAGATCGCACATACCCACTTGGTTAAGGGACAAAGCAAACACCTGCACGTGCAGGCTGACGTGCAGGGTCTCAGGTGCAGGTGGACGTG